CACCCCCCCAACCCAAACACCCGCCCACACACACACCTTTTCCCCCATCGTCCTGCTTCCAGCTGCCTACTCCAGACATCTCCTGGCCGCCAGCGGCTTTTCCCATGTATGTATGCTTCCAGGCGCTAGTTCCAGACACTCTATGGCTGATTGCTGCAGTCTCATCCTGCCTGCCAGCTGTGCCACAAATCCATCTGGCGGCTTACCTGTTGTTGTCACCATGGATCCTAGCTATCCAGCCGTCCTCGCACCCTCAAAGTCCTAGGTCAGCTGCTGCCAGCCTTCCTTATGTCCGCTTGTTGCTGCTGCCAGGTCAGGACAGCAAACAAGCTGCTGTCAAATCACCATCCAGACATACTACAGATCCCACTACCTCTTCTTTGCGGCAAGCTGCAGCCCTCACTTCCACTCCTGTTGTACCCTCAACACTCCACCATCTTATACTACCCTAAGTATACCCCTCCCTTCCTTTCTACCACCCAAACATCTCTTTCTCCTAGCCCTAATTGGGTCTGTGTGTTGTGTCTTTATTCTTATTCCCTTTTATTGTATGTGTCATTGTAACCATATCAAAATTCAACAATAATATTATTCATTTTATTTGGGGTTTGGGCTTTTCCTCCGATGTCATTCTGCAGTAAAAATATTACTCCATGAAGGAGCTTGAAGAAAAGCTTGGTAACATATGGGAAACGAGCAAAGTGTAATAACTTCCTCACTCTAACTATAAAGTGTAAAGAATGATGCCATACATTGTCAAAATTAACCCATGCAAGGCATGACAGATATTTTGCTAGACTTTCCAAGTTCCATATATGGGATTCTATAATCAATTATAAAGGGATATATTATTATCTGACAAGTAAAATATATTTCCTCAAAGGCTACAAGTTATTAGAGACTATTTACAGAATCAACAGCTCTCAGATGCATGCAGCTAAGCCAGTTATTCGCATATCATAGGAGCACAAGATCAAAACTTTAATTGTGAAGGAAATCCAAACACAAATAACACTCCATAAATGATCTTCAGTAAGACAAATCAATTGTCAGAAAAAAAAATTATCAAAAAATGTAAATCCTAAGGCAAGACCACTGCAAAACTTACCTTAAATGAAGTGCAACATATGGTTGTCCATCTTGCCGCATCTTTGATACTAAGAATGCCCCGTAGCCCTTAATGGGAGCAGAATATTTCAGTGCCTTATAATTTACTCTACATCTCAGTTTCTGAATAGAGGTCGGAAGTCCATTGTTAACAAGCCTAGAGTCAGTATGAGTGAAGAATAAAACTCTGTGTTTTTTCAATAGAAGGAGGACATCTTCTTTGTAATAATTCACCTGAACCGCATCAATAGAATAATCAATGGCTTGCACAAAGCAAGAAAACAAAAGCTTTGAATTTTTATTTATAGAATGAGCACCGGATCAACCTTAGACCAAGATATAGGAGTTATCATATATGGTTCAATCTCTCTGAAGCCAGCAGGCAGAGTCTCAACTATATGAACGTCATCCTTTAAGGTCTCAATAAAATATTTCCAATCAAAAAGATCCTTGAAATTACTGTTGAATATGAAATAACAAAAAAATCATGACTTGTAAAACAAATAAATCAATGCTACGAAGAGAATGATTAAAAAAATGACAATCTAAATAACCTATCATCTGCCCAGTAGGATTTATGATCGAGCAAAGGAAGAACAAGTGTGGCTTTCATAAGCTTGGCAACAGCAACCATGTCACAGATCTGCACTCTAACAAAATGATGCATCAGAGTATTGTAGAAGGACATTTCCACAGAAACCTAATTGAAACCAACTGTATTCAGATTTCAGACCCCGAATCTCATCTGATTCAAACCTCCGTTTGCATTAACTAGAATATAGCCATTTGTCATAGCATCAAGCTCTGCAGGAAAAAAAAAACATTCCTAATATACTGAAATCAAGATTGCATAATTACTGCACAGAAAAAATGGAAGCAAAAAATCTCATTGGAGAAAATAGCAATTGTCAGAAATCAAAGAAAGATCAACTTACTTTTATAATATGCTGGTTCAATGCACTTCTTAAAATTTTCACTGTTTGGCTCAGCCCAGATCTCTGAGTGCTGGTGAGCGAAAAGGGAAAGTGTAAGCGAAATATGCAAAACTAAAAAGATATATCAACAACCTATAGTCATGGAGATGAACTTGACTCAATGAAATGGTCATGTCCACTCATCAGGTATCCATCATTGTCCTCTCCTACCTTACTTCCATGGCTAGATGATAAACCCGCTTTCTGACCAGTCATTTCACTCAATAATTCCTGCAAAAGGTAAGCACAAAAAGAAGCTCTATTATATATAACAATGTGCAAGTAAGATGAACCTGAAGGTTGGTCTGAATTCAAAATTTCCAAACAACTGCAGGTTATCATGATGGCAGATAAGATCCTAAGAGCTTTCTGACAACATAAATCTAGAAACTAGATGAGCTACTGTATCATTCAGGTAGCTAAGGTTTTGAATCTAATATCAGACATAGCCCAAGAAAATCAAACTATAATTGGAAATAAAAAGAAAAAAAAACCAACATTTCTCTAAAGGAAATTTAGATGAGATAATTGAGGACTCGTGCACAAAAAAATTACACCCGCCCAGTTATAGCATTTGGAGTCCCAAGGGCACGCTCAACCATTACACTTGAATAAATCACTTGACTAAACAAAAGTAATCTCTTACTCCTACATTTGCTTTCAAAAACCTTTCCATGTCTGCATTCAAATATGAACTCTTTAGCCGATTAAAGGATGTTGTTGTTAAGTGGTTAGTTGTGGCTGGGAAGTAAAGTCATGCCAATGAACACTTAATCATTCTCCCCTTAATGAAAAAACTCGACCTCGAGTTTAATATTTAATAAAACAGTTTCCAACATTGTTGCAAAATATGAATATTTATGGAGAATGCAAGTATCACCAACAACAACAACAACAAGCATAACCCACTAAGTGGGGTAGGCTACATGAATCATTTTTCTCTATTGCAACTTATCGATTGTCATATTTTCATCTACTTCTAATAAATTAAGATAATGTTTTATACAACATGCCCAAGTCCCTTTAGATTTGTCTCTACCTTTATAATATAAGTCAAATATAAAACATCTACTATCCTAATAAGGACATTAGATGGTTTATGTGTAATGTGACCAAACCATCTAAGACAACTCTTTATGATCTTGTCTGCCACTGGAGCTATTGCAACCCTTTCAGGGATATATTTGCTCCGCATTTGTCTCTTAAGTGTAAAGCCACTCATCCACCTTAGCATTCTCATCTCATCAACACTTAATTTTATGCTTCTTTTTTACAAGCCAATATTTTGCACCATAAAGCATAATAGGTCTCACCGTCATCTTATAAAATTTTCCTTAGTCTAAGCGGTACTTTTCTATCACACGATAGATCTGATGCATTCCTTCACATCAACCATTCAACTTAAATTATACTAATAACATCTCCATTTATGCCAACATCACTTTGAACAATAGACCCAAGATATTTAGAACGATCACTCATTTTGATGATTTGATAATCAATTGTTAGAATCCTACCATTACATCTACCACTACTAAAATTATATTCCATGCATTCCTCCATTTCAACCAACCAACATGAATTCTACTAATAACATCCCCATCTATATCACCATCACTTTGAACAATAGACCCGAGATATATGAAGCGTTAACACCTTCTAATAATTTGATCACCCATAGTTACATTTTTTTCGCTTGAGCTACTACTACTAAAATTACATTCCATGTACTCAATTTTAGTACTACTCAAACTACTCAAACGAAGACCTTTAGAAAACAAAGGTCTTTAGACTCCAATATAGACCTCCATAATTCAAGTTTTTTCTGAGTTTTCTCTCTCGTCCTATCCACGAGAAGGATATCATCAGCAAAAAGCATACACCAAGGTATATCGCCCTATAAATGTCCAGTAAGACCATACATAACTAAAGCAAAAAGATATCGGCTTAAAGTTGATCCCTAATATATTCCAATAGAAAAAGAAAAATATTTGGCCAATCCTTCTGTTCAAACGCAACATTTCTTCTCAAGAACTCTCCAAATGATATATCTTAGAACCTTATCGTAAGCTTTTTCTAAATCAATAAAAATCATATGTATATCCTTCATATTATCTCTGAACTTCTCCATCCAACCTCTCAATAAATGTATAGCATTCATAGTAGACCTGTCCAGCATAAATCAAAATTGATTATGAGAAATCTTTGTAATATGTCTTAACCAATGTTCAATTACCCTCTCACATGATTTTAAATTATGACATATTAACTTAATTCCTCTATAATTTGCACACTCTTGTGCATCCCCTCTATCCTTCTGTTCAAACACAAGTAATAACTCTAGTATACGTATCTTTAATGACTAGAATATAAGTCATATTAACACATTTCTTCTCAAGAACTCTCCAAAGGATATCTCTTGGAATCTTATCGTAAGCTTTTTTCTAAATCAATAAAAATCATATGTAGATCCTCCATATTATCTTTGAACTTCTCCATCAAACCTCTCAATAAATGTATAGAATTCATAGTAGACATGTCCGGCATAAATCAAAATTGATTATGAGAAATTTCTGTAATATGTATTAACCTATATTCAATTACCCTCTCACATGATTTTAAATTATGACACATCAACTTAATTCCTCTATAATTTACGCACTCTTGTGCATCCCCTCTACTCATAAAAATGGTGACCAAAATACTCTTTCTCCACTCCTCAGGCATCTTTTCAGTTTTTAAAATAATATTAAAGAGTTTAGTAAGCCAAGAAACTCCCAAATCCCCTATACATTTCCACACTTCAATTGGGATTTTATCATGTCCTACAGACTTTCCACCCTTAGTTTTTTTTAAAGTCTCCTCAACTTCTTTTTTACTAATGCGACAGTAAAAATGAAATATTTTATTATTATTAATGATATTAAGATCACTAAGGTCGGTCATATTTTCAGAAACTTCATTAAAAAGTTTATCAAAATAATTTCTCGCCCACCTTTATTGAATTTTTTTTTCTTAGAAGAACATTTTTTTATTTTTATCTTTAATACATTTTACTTGAATTAAATGTTTACTCTTTTCTTTCTTTTTGTTTGGCTAGTTTATACATATATTTTTCACATTCCTTAGTATTTAATCAATTATAAAGATCACTAAAAACAGAATTTTTAACATCACTGATTATTCTCTTAGACTCCCTAAGGACAGTTTGATGTTTTTCTCAGTTCTCTAAGCTTTTACATTTAAACCAATATTTATAACATAATTTTGTATACTTTATCTTTTCTTGCACATTATTATTATTTCACCATCAACTATTTTTACTTATAAATTTTTTTTTTTATTCTCGAAGTTCATCTTTTGTCACTTTTTTAATAGTATTTGTTATTTTATCACACAGAGAATTTGATTCTTCGTGAACATCCCAAATTTTTAAATCTTGAATTTTATTCCTAAAAAATAATTTTATTTATGTCTTTTAAGGGTGTGTTTAGGGTCGTTTGTGCGTTTCAGGATAAGCAGCTTATCCTGAAACGTGGTCCGTAGGTCGACCGCAGGGGTCGAACCGCGGCCTGCGTTTAGTGTAAAAAGCTCAAACGCGGCAGGTGGCGTTTTAAAAAATGCGCAAACTAAGCGGTTAGACGGCGTTTTCAAAAATGTCGCCACACTTATAAGCTGCCCCAAACGGGCCCTAAGTACCTCATCTACTTCTACGACAATGATTCCTAGATTTCTTTATTTTGCAGCTCTTTATCTTAAAATCTAGAGCTAATAATCAAGATTGAGTATTTAAAACTTCACTTGGAATGACCTTACAATCTTTACATTCTCGACGATCTCTTCTTCCCATAAGAAAATAATCAATTTGCATATTATTAAATTCATTCTTATAAATAATAATATGTTAATCTCTTATCATAAGCTTTCTCTAAATCAATAAAATTCATATGTGGATCCTCATTACTCTCTCTATACTTCTCCATCAAACCTCTTAATAAATGTATGGCTTTTATATTAGACTTCTCTGGAATGAATACAAACTAATTTTGAGAAATTTTTGGATCACGTCATAATATATGTTCAATTACTCTCTTCCATGACTTTAATGTATGACACATTAACTTAATTTCTTTATAATATTCACTCTTGTGCATCTCATTTATTCTTAAGAGTATGAAACAATAGACACTTTTTCCACTCATCAGACATAATTGAGAATCTAAGCATAAGCTTAAAAAAAATGAAGATGGAAGAACTTAAGGGATAGGAGAAATAAAAGAGTAACTTGATAACTATTTGAAGAGTGAAGGTCACAGCACATAAAAACTAATGTCCATCAACATGCTAGCTGCCAATTCTCACCGTAGCAACAAAAAAAAGGTGAGAATGGGAGCCCATGTTGATGGCCAAACGAGGGGAATTTCATTCAAAATATCATGTTATTCATCAACAGAAAACTTTATATACTTAAGAACCAGATACTTAGCTTACTTAAAACATAAAATAAACTTAAAACATAAAATAAACTTAAAACTAAGAAACATAACACATACCTCATAAGATCCCGATCACATAATAGCTAATATATATGTTATAACATGAAAATGACAAAGAAATAAATAAAAAGTTACAAAACTTCCATGCTTTTGAGTCCTTGTTATTATAAATCAATTATCATGACGCTAAATAAATTTCTTTTGAAAAGATTCGCCAAAACTATGGAAATGAACAAAATAGCTCTTAAAACATCATGGTCTTTATAAGGTCAAAATAATGTTTTAGCAACCTTGGATAATTGCTCAAGTGCAAACGGAAGTGATTGCCAACTTCATTCACGAAGGCAAGCAAACAAGAATACCAAGTTGCACAACAAAGGCAAGAACAAATTCAACATCTATAATTCGGAGTAAAGCCTTAACATGCAAATCCTCAATTTATAACTTGTGACATGGGAGATATTGACCGCATCAAAATTGAGGAGAGTATCCATAACAAAAGAGACACAAGCATGGAACCAACTTATAAAGTGTCGCCTTGAAAAGCAAGGCTCAAGCATGGATTGCTCTAGCTACGATAGCAAATTTGGATCATTCTACAACATGTTTGTTGTTGACCTCATTTTTTATGAGGTCAGTCTTCTTCTCTAGGAGCCTAGGATCTACTGACTCTCCCAGAGAACTAGCATTGAGACCCACACTATATAGAAAATTCAAACAACTTCTTGACTTCTTGTAGTCTTGGTCTTGAATCCTCAACTCATGGTTAAGTCGATTTAAACCAGTATATTGAAACTCAAGAAGAGTTCCCATAGGTTGGAGATGCCCTAAGCAACCCCTTCAAGCCTAGAGACTTGACTTTATGCTTCAAGTATTGTTCAACCTTATAGAACCCGATCGATCAAACCTAGCACTTGCTCTTGATTCACGCCTTTAGTTCGGGAAGAGCTTGAACGTCTTTAGAGTTCGTCTTAAACTACGATCGAGTTTAAATTGAAAATTAGCTAAGAAACTATTTAATTGGTGAAAATAAAAAAAGAGAATCAAATTAAAATTTAAAAGTAAGCACATAAATCAAAATCAAGCAATTTTAATTCAAATTGAAATCGATACAGAGAATCAAATCTTAAATTTTTTTTAATCATGTAATTTTAATTAATTTTTTAGATAAATATAAATAAAATTAAACCTTTAATAGACATATAATTGAATAATAGTAATAACGATAAAATAATAAAAAAAACAACAATAATGATAATAATAATCATATAAAAATATAAATAAAATAATAAAAGTAATAAAATAATAATAATGATAATAATAAAAATAAAAGTTATATGTGTGTGTGTATGTCGCTTGTCGTGACTCTTTGAAAGTGCAACCTAGCATAAGTGCTCTGGGGTCACGGATTCGATCCCGCCCGAGAAAATAACCTTAACTTAATATATGAGATAATCTATATAAAAAAGGAAACCAATGCCAGATCTATAGCGCTTGATAACTTCTACATAGGTCACATATTAAGGGGAGAATAATATAAAATAGCTAAGCAAACAGAGAGGATATAGAAAAAATTTGGTGAAATTAGACGTATCAAGATTAAATAAAATTAGACCTTCATAGAAGAGGAAGAAATCAACAAAAAATAACAATGCTAATTTGACAAATTATTAAAATGAGAATTAGAAGGAAGAAAGTATTGTAGAAGAAAAGAATGAACAATAGCAAATGGAAACCCATAAAAAATGTTCATTGTAGCCTGCAACAGATAAACTAACTCGTGACAAAAAAAAAAGAACACATGAAACCAGAGTTTGCACTGATCTATTTAATATTTAAACCACAAAGGCACAAAACACCAAACAAGAAAATTTTCCTATCTCTACAAGTAGTTCCATTCGTCCACTATACCAAACTGCACCTCTCTTCAAAACAAAATTGAAAAGAAACAGCATGTCAACATCATCAGACCTCTCAAATTTGAAAACCATTACCTGGTGCAGCTCGGCTGTCTCGAAAACAAAAGACCCGCGCCAACTACCGCCAAAAATCTTCATCAATCCGAAAAACAAAACAACGCTGCAAAACATCAAGAACAAAACATTCCCCAGTCGTCTTCTATTCCTAAACGGAACTCCTGACGCTGGTTTCTTGAACACATCTTTCCCCATAATCTGCATCCCGAACCGGGAGCGAACATTATGTCCATGGTGCCGCCGCTCTGCACCCGGAGAAACCGCAATCGGCGACGAGGGCTCTGCAGGGCTGCCGCCAGCGCTATCGGAGGAAGAATGAGGGGAGCTTGTCTGGGGATCGATCTCGCCGCCGTTTACACCGTTGCGCTTAAACGAGTGGCATCGCCGAGTCATGGAGCCATTGTAGCTAGGACTATGCACACGCTGGTGGTGGGAGAAGCCCTCGCCGGAGTTAACACCGCCGGCGCTGGTGTGGTGTTGGGTACTTTGCTGAAATCCCATGAGAGAGAGACAGTGTATCAAGTTTTTTTGGTTTAATATTGAATGAAAATCGTTCCTAGGATTCAAGACTCCAGCGTTGCCATCAACATCAAGCAGATTTTCAGGAAGGAGCGTAGGCGCCGGTCACTGAACTCTGGAACGGCCAGTTCTCTGTTACTGAGCTTCCACAAAGAGAACTTTTTTTTTACTATTTATCTTATAACTTTTTTTTTTACTATTTATCTTATTATTTGAAGTTTTAATTTTGTGTGTATAAATATATTTTGATAATTTACTTTTTTTTTACTATTTATCTTATTATTTGATGATTTAATTTTGTGTGTATAAATATATTTTGATAATTTTGGATGATATATATAAGAAGTGAAAAATTTAGATAGTAGATATATAAATATTTAAAAATAGGTTGATATATGTAATGCCCCTTTATTATATTAATTGGAAAAAAAACTTTTTATTTTAATTTTTAATCTTTAATTTTTATTTATTAAGAGCTTATTTTAAATTTTTGGATGAGATAATAAAATAGGGATTTTCATATCTCATCTTACGTGGTTATTTTCAAAAAAATTTGCCTCTTTTAAGGGTTGTTATTCTTCGCAACCAATTCTCTTACAATAAAGCTCTCTGAAAGTTTAAAGGGCACTTTGCATAATTTTATCATTGCGACAGTGTAATCTGCTTATTTCCAATTCAGCTAAGCATCGTGTATGGTTAAATGGTTCGAACTGACTCCGATGTAGCGCTTCGAGTAGACCATTTCACTGAGAAATATCTACATGCTTAATATGTTAGCTTTAACTCGAACAATTTTTTTACGTATTATTATAATATATTTAAATTGTATATTAAAACATAGCTTTCTTCTCTCTCTCATATATATATATATATATATATATCATC